ATTACACTATATGCACGTTTTAAACATTATTACACTATATGCTTTCAGTAGTTCTATTCTTTTGATTATTCGTCACCTTCAGTTCTTTTAGTACCTAAAGGAATTCAATAGGAATTTGCCCTAAAATCCGTCTAGATATTACATGTATGAACATAATTGTGCTCCAAATCGCAGAAACCAAAGCAATGTACCATTTCTGCTATTGTACAACATAACTGATAATGTTTTCTACGTCTTGAATGGCTAACCAATTAATATCAATTTGCCTTTAATATTTTTTTTAAATGTGAAATTATAAATTTTATCAAAGAAAAATATCAACTGTAAAACTGGGAATAGTAAGAGAAATTTGTTCTAGGAAATTGTAAGTGGCCACCCACTATTGTTGATAAACTCAAATAACCGCACTTCGAAGACCTGCTTAAACTTTCAGAATTTAGTAGGGCTCTTTTCCCTACTGTAGACCAGCAAGCCTCATTAAATGTCAGCGATTTTAACTTTAGAGAAGGGAGAAAAAAGAAATGAACCCCCATTCACTTGCTGTTTTGTAGTGTAAGAGCGCAATAGTGGCGCGTGTTTTTATTTTGTGTAGATATCAGAGTTTTGAAGATGCAGCGTATCAATTTGAGTTCAACTTTCGGTCATTTTTCAGTGGGATTGACTACTGTTCGGTGGGTGGTAAATCAAAATTATATTGTGTCAGAAATATAGTGCTTTTTCTGTGCAGGGAGACTGCTCACATAGCAAATTATTCCTTTAGAATATTTTTTTGTCAAAAAATCAACAGGGGAAGTCGTGGAGGGAGATGTTTCAGGGCAGCTGCCACACTGAACCCTATTTGTTTTATTGCAGGCCTTACTGTGGACATTATTTTACTATTGTGTTTTTATGCTTGTAATTCAGGTGACAAAACCATTTTGATAGATTGGTAATATAAGCTCTTAAACAGTTAATTTAGGCATCACAATTTTTTCTAGTCAATGTAAATTCAGATGATAATTACTTCCAAAGAAACTAACTTCCAGAAAAACTAAAGCAGTTTTTATAGCACTGTCATTTAATGGCACCTTCTGACACAAGATATCTGGGAACATTAAGTTAGGTATATATTAAGTAGTTATGACCTTCTGGATCAATTACAGGTATAGACCTTCAAAACTTTTATCAAAACTCTTTGCTGACATTTCATCCAATAATGCTGGATATTTTCAGAGTTTGTTATAGCAGAGAACAGATCAAAATGAATACCAAACTAAAGTCGGTGCCTGTTGTAGCTTTTCCTTATTTATCCACGAATTGCAAGAATGGCAAATTTTTGTCAGTATCAACTTGCTTGTGTGGAAATAGCTGAAGGTTGCAAACAGTAACATAAGTTGTATTCATTGAATGGCTGATCTGCAATATCACTTTGGTAACATAGAATTGCTCTTATGATATATCCAGATTTAAAAGTTTTTCTCTAGGAAACAAAATTATTTTAAATTGTTTTTTATATATGTTGATTGTAAATTTGAGAAGTATGTTTAAAATTGTATTGCACATATTTTGAGAAAGGCCTGTTTTAATTTCTTTTTTTAGGGTGAAGTTTCATACATTAGAGTTAAAGAGGATTATGGCAGCGGTAGCAGCGGGCGCGGTTCTGGTGGTCGGTCCCGTTCCCGATCATATTCACCACGTCGTCGAGGATCACCTACTTACTCACCAGTGCGCCGCAGCTTCTCCCGTTCACGATCACGTTCACGGTCACGTTCCTACAACTGAATTTTTGTGGAAAACAACATCAGTAACGGATGCAAAATGGTGTAAGGCTTCTTCATAACCCCTTCTCCATTGATATAGACATAACAGAAAGTGATGCAATCTTTGTTAGAATTAACTCATCACGTCTATGTAATATTTTTGTTAGCGTTTCTGTTTTCAGTCAGTTCTATTTTTAATTCTGTTCAAAATGTGTATAGACATTGTCAAGCAGAAGTGGGTGTTCACAGCATCACTATTGAACATTGTGAAAATTGGGTGGGAGTGTACAATTGTAACTTGTTTAATGTAGGATATGCAGGTTTGTGGAAGCAATACTATGCAGGTGAATACCTAAGCTGCAAAAATTGTGATGATGAGATGCATTGTACTCTTGTTCCAGCTGTTGGGTGCATTTACAAAAAAAAATATTTTTTTTTTCTTCCCCAAGTGCAATTTAGTTTTCAAACGGTCATAAAAATCATTTATATTCAATTCTTATTAACGAATAATTAACTGAATTGCAGTTACAAAGATTTTAAAATTACATTCCATCAAGCAAAATGGATTTTCTGCAAGCTGGATATGTAGTAGTAGTTAGCGTTATAAAAATTCTGATCATGCCATAATTGCTAAGTAGGCTGTTGAGTTTTAGAAGTAATGTGTCAATACTTTGAGCAGTTGAGTGATGTAGATTGTGAAAATGTTTATTTTGTACTTCTTACCTGGGTAGTTCTTTGTCCAGATTACTTAATATTGCTAAACAGTTTATAAATGTGAAAGATAACAGTTTTCATGTTAAAAATGGGTACCTTTACTTATAATGTAGAAATAGTTCCATGTTGGGCAGCTTTTCCATGATTGTCATGTTCTGCATTTAGTGGAAAAGCTGTTTGCATATATGACAGACATTAATGTTGTATTCTCTTTTTCTTTTTTTAAACGGACTTGGATAGCAATTGTAAAGGAATTGGCATCCTTTGGAATTAATACACATTAAACATGACCCTCTGTGTCTGGATTTCATTTGGATGAAGAGGAGAAATGCATCTTCATGTACCTTTGCATGGATTTGGAATGTCTGTGGATACCGTATGGAACAGGATCAGGAATGTTGGATGGAAATTATTTCAAATATACCGTCCCAAGAGGATTTTTGGAATGAACGTTTTTAAGGAATCGCTAAGGATAATTGGATAATATTTCAACTGGATCTGGTCGCTTATTTAGAATTGGCTCACACAGAAAAGGACACCAGGATTTCAGTCAGGGGAAAAAAACAGGATTCTGGATGACCTTTTTTTGTGCTGGCCCAGGAATGAATGCAGGAATATGCTCACTCATTCTGCCGACCCAGGATCGAGGGCAGGAATCGGCTTGCTCAATATCACATTTCGCCGCCCGACACATGCGAAAATTTGTGCTTCTAGTTTAGCACAACATATCCCCTTCCAAACACAGACTCCTACGTTGCATCTTTAAGTCACTCAATAGTTTGACTGAATTGTTGAATGTCTTGGCCGCGCGGAACTTGCCTACTCGCCGATGGAAAGGAAGCCCAAGACATTTTGGAACTTTTTCCACTGGAATCCTCTCCATACGGATATGCAAGTTAGGATCGGCGTAGGACTCCCAGGATGTCTCGCTCGCATGGAGGGATTGCAAAGGAATGCCTGTTTATTGCGTGGTGGGACGCCGAGGGAGGAGAGTCGGCTCTAGGTACGTCCTGCCCTTCTGTTACAGGCCAGGGGCTCAATCGCTGGGGTTTTGCATGTAATGCATTTAGCTTGCGTCACCTCTGCATGTTCTGTGTAATCTGCTTCCTTGTCCAGTGTCCTGTCTGCAATGTGTCTTAGTTTCCCTCCTGTTTGTGACTTCATAAATGCAGGGCCCGTTTTTAATTACTGAAAAACCCCGGTGATTATTTTTTTAAGTGTGCATGTGGTGACCTCCCCCTTGGTTTAATAAAAGAAACACAGGCTTGGGAAGAGACAAATTTCGCATTTGAGGGCGGTCTTTGTGGTGAAATCAGCGAGGTGAGGTGGGCAATTTTCCAGGTACTTTTCGAAATTTCGGGATTCTAAATTCCATGCGCTTAATATGAGGGATCTAAATGGTTAGGTATAGTATGTTGCCTTCCTGCATTGTGTGGAAATATTTTATGATCAGTCTGGTTTAACAGTACTGTGATTTTTTTTATTTTTAATTTTTTTTTACACTAATATTTTGTATGCGAGTGTGTGGTTATTTGGTGAATGAGCTGGGTGCATGCTTGTGTTGGGTAGTTGTAATATTTTCTTTCAGCACTGCCAGTGATGCACAGAATGGAATTGGTTGCCTACATCGGGAACAAGGTTTTTGAAATATTTTTTATGCACAATTGCAACAAAGTCACTATAGCTGAGCAGATGTGAGTGAATGCTGGAGATCCCAAAATATTTGGAATGTCATAAATTTTATTGTACATTCATGATAACCCAAGACCATCACACATTTTAGATACGGTTTTCAATTTTATTAATAAAATAGTCTTCAGAATTAGGTATGCAAAGGACATGATTTGAAAATCTTTGAATTGTATATATGGAAATGACTGTGCATTATAAGTTTTTACTTTCAGTGAAAGGAAAATGTGTATCTTTTAGCTGTGATGAGTTTTGTGGCAAAGTAATTACTTTTAAGAAGTCATTCTTTAGAGAGGTTTTTGACGTCACATGATTTTCTTATAAACAATCAACATTAATAAAAAATTTAGGACCATGATGTGTTTCATTGACTTCCTTCCCTTTACTGGCCGTTTTGTTTTTATACAATTAAGGGATAGTGTTTCTTAATTTCAATAGTTCTTTGGTGGATTTGTTATTGAAGAAGAAAATTGCTCAAAACTTCGAACGAGTTCATGAAGTTTTGATTAATTTGGAATGGGATACGATGACTATTCACGCAACTGTGTTGTAGTTATTTCAGTATTTTATTGCAAATTTTCTTTTCTAAAGAAAGTTTATGAAAGTAAATATGGAAATTTCATCTGACAGTTTAGATAATGTCTATTACTACATGTAATGAATCTGCTAAGGAGGCTGTCGGCCCACATTTTATGAAGCATCTTTTCCTTAAATTGCTGTACTGCCCAAGAGGTAACAGAGGATCAATGTTGATTACTGTATTGTACAAGGCAGGTATGGTTTTGAATGTTCTACTATATTAAAATCACTAAATTAACACAACCGTAATATATTTTTAAAATTAACATATTGCTACTGAGAGTTCAGATTTCCGAAATATAACGAAATGCTTCAGAGTTGGGACAAATGAGTCTTGATAAGTGGCCATAGCCGGTATTTTGCTGGGGTGAGGGGAGAATGCTTTAGATGATGTCTGGCTGACTTTTTCTTTTAAAGAAAATTTCATTTTTGCTGAATTGGTCAGTTTTTAATGCCAATTTATAGTTATACCTTATTCAGATGCAATGTTTGGGCTAGATTTGAAAAAAATGTATTTATTTGTGTATGTTTTGTCAGCTTTGTTATGTCACAGAAACCCAGATTGCACCCTGCCTTTAATACACACGTACACTGGTTTGTGCTTATCTTAATGAAATTTGTAAAAATAAACTCCTCATGAACATAACATCTGCAATATGCCATATTCATGCCATCACCCTAACAAGTCTGCAAAAGAAGTCTGAATGTGAAAGGCAACAAAAACTAGTCAATGATGCTTTTTCAAAAGAATAATTTAAGGTCCAGTTGATGCCTTGCATATTGAAAGTCGAATAGACAATAGCATTTAATTGGTTCTTCAACAAAATCACCTTGAGTCGGTGCATAATTTCATACATCTTTTAAATAAGAGGGAAAATTACATCCTGCATTGCATTGCAATTCGTCAGTTCGCCGTTTCTCCGGGTCCATTAGATTAGATTAATTCTTTAACATATGTTAACTGATGATTTACCTGAACAAATTTGATTAATTGTTTCATATAATACCCTTAAATACTATGATAAATTTTTTTTGAATTGAAATTACCAATTTCACGCAATATTGCTCATATTTTGAAACTATCGTTCTTGACCTTATTTGAAAGGATTTTTGGCCAACAGACATCATTCAGGGGTAAAATGAAATAGTTGCTTTATAGCTCAAAGATGATGCCCAAAAAAGTGTTTAGTTATGCAATTTTCGAAAATTCAGTGTTCAGCGACTGCAGCGTTCTTTAAGCGTCTTGCTCTAAGCATGGAATGCAGCGATTTTTAGAACACTTTTGAAATGACACTTTTATGTAAAGTACTGCCAAAATTAAAATATCCAATTCAAATGCAAAGGGGACCGCGACATCAGAACGATCGATTGAGGAATATCAATTTTTGCGAAAATCCGGACTTAAGCTCTTGTGGTCACGAATGAAAAACCCCGTTTTACCGTGATGCAATTTTTCTGTACCAAGGACCTACTAAAAGTGGATTCTGACTACACTTACTAGAAGTAATGTACTAAATTCATTTAAACAGTACAGCCTATTTGTCATCATTTACACCCCTGATATTTGGGCGACACTGACATTACCGGTAGCATTTAATAGCATGGTAAATGTAATAGTTATTCCCGATTTCTATTACATTTCCGGCTTTTGGGCCTTTGGCATCAGGGATCGAAAAAGGGAAAGTCTCTAGTTAAATGATTATTTTGAGTTTAAAACAAAACTCTGAGAAGGGGTCTTTATCTTTCTATGAATATTTGTTTTTAATTCCCCAAAATTATACCCTTCTTAATTTTATTCTAGAAAATACAAGGTATACATTAATAAGAAATTAAAAAACCCTTAATTTTATCCCAGAAAATGCTAGGAGTACATTAATTAGGAATTAAAAACCTCAGATTCTATTACCATTGTCATTCTACCGGGAGAGAATCACAAAGTCTCGCCGCTTAGTTTTGACTGAGCGACCTCCTCCCAGGCTTCTTGGATTAGATGCCAGAGTGCATCTGCGTTGTTAGGTCCCGGATCAGGCCAGTTTTCGGGCATGGTGCGTCTTGCTTCTGCCCAAAGAGTTTCAATAGGGTTCAGGTCTGGTGCGCATGGTGGCCAGTCTATAACATGAATTTCTTTTTTTAATCGCAAACTACGATTGAACCGAAACCAACTTATGAATAGGAGACTGGTCTTGTTGGAATTGAGTTATACCCTCAGGGTACAATTGTCTTACTAATGGGCCTTTGATTCTATGGATCATTCCAATGCTGCGAGATGACATCCAGCCCCAAAACTGCTACTGAGAATTGACCTGACCTTGGTATTTGTTTCACGCACTGAGAATCATAGTGGCTTCCTGAGACCTGAAAACGCGAACGGGTCCATCATTTGCGGAGGAGAATATACTCTCATAAGAGAAAATGACATCAGCCCAATCTCTATGTAACTTTTTCTCCGCAAATGTCAGCTTATAGAGCTGATAGGACTTCTGTCAGCTTCGATTTTCGAGCTGCACTTCTGGATCGCAGACCAGCGTCCGAAAGTCTGTTGCGTATGGTTCTGGAACATCCAGGAAATGTGGTGGTACGCCTAAGCCCCGTACCTACTTTCCTCCCGGATTCTCCCGTCTCTCGATGACGTTTAAGCCAGTATTGTGCGGTTCTTGCCTCCAACGCCTTACCGGCTTCCCTCTGAAATAGAGGTGACTATCTTCTACTAGTGCAATAATTTGCTCTCGTGTGGCTTGGCTATGGTGAGCCATGTCGAATAATGAATATGGAGTAGTTCAAATCACTTGGCCGCGATGCTTTTCTTACCAAGTGGCAACGCTGCAAAGCCCCTTATCTCCTTGTGACCTGTAGTCAAAATCACGGAAGTACTGCGAAGGACAGATACAAGTCGGTAGTACCGTGAGGCTTTCGAGAGAAAATCAGTTATCTCTCTCAACAAAGTAAATTAGTTTATTCCACTGTCTTATGAGCTAGAATTTTCTAGCAAGCAAAAAGACATACTAATATGGCTAATTGGCAGTATGATGCGTGCATTAATTTGTGGTGGAAATGTTTTTTTGATATGAAACATCGCTATTTAGTGCCTTTTTTTTTTACAATCTACATTATGTTGTGCATAAAAATGCTCATAATGAATTTCCACATTCATCTGAAATAGATGTTTGTATGATAGTGTAATGAACTCCAGCATAATCAAAGTCTAGGAACATTTTCGTTTTCAAAATTAGTTTTCGACAAATTGAATTTTGAAATCTATTTGATTTTACTTAACAGCTACAAAATCTCAATACCCACATAACTAAGGCTTCCCACGTGAAGGCAAGTTATTTGAGAAATATTCATCATCAGAACCACTCATAGTCAAAACCACCTTATTTACTTTAATGTAGACACTGCAAATTTAAGCCTTGTCGCGTTAAGGATTATAATAATTGCTGAACATCAGTTCCTTCATCTTTATATATATATATATATATATATATATATATATATATATATATATATATATTAGTGTAGTAGAAATAAGTCATATCAAGGCAAACGTGTGAAAGCAGGATTTAATGAATAACTGATACGTCTTTCCAAATTTTTACAATTGAAATTTCATACTAATTTTTGTGTACATGGGCATAAAAAGTTTTGTTCGAGCAATAGTGAAAATATTGGCGCAATATTTTAACTTTTTTTTTATTCGCAATTTAAGGTATAATCTACAAGATTATAATATTTTGGTTTCAATGCCGCCCGTCCAGACCTATTATCACTTTTTAAGAATTGCTTGTTTGCATTCCTTGTTCGCGATCGCGAATTCCGGCCAAATTAATGCATAACATTTACTAGACGAATGTAGGATGCTGTAATTTAGTGGATTTTATGGCACTGTAGAATGGATAATATCTACCCGCTACATCACGAGGTTTAGAGCACTTTGACACTGAGACACTCTTCTAACACTCGTTATAACAACACATTTTATATTAACGAAACGTGAAAGCAACATTACGTTTACAAATGTTAATGTCAATTCGGATTCATGGTCAGGAATCACGGAATTCTTTTTCCCATATACTAATACTATTTAGCATTCAATGGACGTTAACGTATTTTATATACTCTCCAATAAAACAAATTTAATCTAATAGTTCAATCTACAGAACGTAATTTCGAAAATAAACTTTAGATAGTGCTGTTGGCAAGCAGGGTTGTCCGGTGCCAATAAATATTACGATTTCAGAAGTTTCCGATTGGTTTTGTAATAACAAACGAATAGTTAACGAATGATAAAGTTTCAATGGAGTTTTGCGTTTCAAATCAGCAACGCTCCATTGAAAATGAACAATATGTAATTAGCTAATGTTAAGGTGACAACATTTCTAGGTGTCTCAATTCTAACTTCAAATGGAATGTACATGCAACAGAATTAAAAACTAAATTTACTTCTTTCGTTCAAATTCTGTTATCCTTCATGCAGCTCGTTTTATTTTGCAAATCTGCATTCCCACCTGAGATATGGCATAATATTCTAAGGAAGCTCATCATGTAGTACAGAGACATTTAAGTTTAGATTGCAAAATAAAATTATACGAATAATGAAATAAATACATCCATGTGATCCCTCCAAGACTCACTTCATTGAGTTTGGAATATTATTATTGCCTTGCCTATTTATTTACGAATATGTAATATTTGTCAAAACTGACTTACTAAACGGTGGGAACACATTTTGTTACAATATTGATATTCATAATTATAACACGTCGTAGAAATCATGTTC